CCCCGCCACAACTTTACCAGGGATTGAACTCAGGACCTTTCGCTTGCCAGGTAGGTGTGGCACTGCTGAGCTACATCCCTGGCCCATGAAGTATCAGATATTAAGGGGCCTATTCTCTGCTCTATGACTGTCCTGGCAACTCAGGTAGTTAGAGACTCATTTCTGGGCTCAGCAGGGCATTTTACTGAACAGTAACTCATAGTAAGAAAGGAATTTGGCCAAGATATCAAGTGGCGGATCTAGGGTCCCAACCACGATCTGATGACCTCAAAGGCGAATCTCTTCCCTAAGAAGTGGTACCTATTATAGATGCTGGCCTGAGCCTAGTCTGCTGTCAGGCACTGCCAAGTGATGGTTGCCATAAGATGAGCTGGTTCTGATCTCTATACTCAAGGGATGTTCTTGGTCTGGGTCAGAGGAAGTCATCTAGGTACAGTGGCCATGGGGAAGAGGAACCCCAAAGGGTGGTCAGAAAGACTTTCTGGAGAAAAGGCAGAAGTGACCCTTGAGCCCAATAAGAATGTAACATCTAGGGGCCGGGGATTTAGCTCAGTGGTTTCACTGCCTGCTGCGCAAGTGCAAGGACCTGAGTTCAATCCCCGGTACCAAAAAAAAAAAAAGAATGTAACACCTAGAAGTCCCTCAAGTGTAAGAAATAGCAGATGCATGTTAAGTGAAGGATACTCTGGGAGGGAGTTGGCCTGCAAGCTTCCACCCTGCAGAGAACTAGCACTGTGCGGACCCTAGCAAAGAGCATGGAGACAACTAAAGGATGTGCCTGGAGGAAGAGACATTTACTTATATTTGTGGTACTGGGAACTGAACCCACGATTTCATGCACATTATGCAAATCACCACTAAGCTACATCCCTTGGTCAAGAAAGACTTCTTAAAAAGGACTCATGGTGATGGGCTGTGCCTCCCATTTCTTGGACACTGTGGTTATGCTGGATTCTGAGGACTCAAGGAACGTGAAGATACACCGCCTCCATTTTGGAGAAGAAAGACCATGAACTAAACTTCTGAATGTACTAATGGCTGCCAGGGAGTGGGGCTGGTCCTCTGCAGGCTCAACCTTATTCTGGCCCTCTGGAGAATGCTGTGCTGGCCCTGGCCTGCCCACTGCCACCCTGACCCCTTCCTCCATGGTTGCCTTGGACTGCACCACTAGTGGCCCCAGCATATCTGTGGTGGGTGGCCAGATGCCCTTTACTCACACTGAGTGGACATGATTTAAAAAAAAAAAGCAGGAGGGGCTGGGCTCACTTGTGACCTCATCACTGGTACCGGGGACTGAGGTCTGGGGTATCCAGAAGCCTCTTTTGTTCTCAGCTGGGCTCCAGGTCCCTTGCATGGGGCACAAAAGCTTGAGTTCAGTGGGCCACCTGCACTTGGCTCAACCCACTGCAGGCAGAGTCCTAGGCTTGCTGCTTTTGGCTGGGACACAGAAGGAATGGTCTGGTTGGAGAGAGACCTGTCACATGCTGAGTGGTAGACATGGGAAAGACCCAGAGTGGGCCGTGGTGACCAAAACGGCTCCTGCCCCTGTACAGCTCCACAATCTAGTGGAGGAGGAATGTTACTAAATTGTCATTAGAAACAGCTTGCATTATAAGTAACAAGAATGAGAGGCAGGGATTTAGTTCAGTGGTTCCGCCACCTGCCTCGCAAGTGCAAGGACCCGAGTTCAATCCCCAGTACCGCCCCCCCCCAAAAGATATAGGAATGAACTTCATTAATTTTCTATTTATTGTGATATCCTACACACAGAAAATATTTTATATACAGACAGTATATTTATTGAAGAATAAAACCTATTTGCTCTTCAGGTCACCTCAGGAAAAAATTTACTAATAAATTTGAAGCTTTTTAGTCTTTCCCAGAAGTAACCACTTTCTTGAATTTTGGTAAATCTAGCCTTTGCTATTTATTGATTTTATCACTTATCTGTTTCTAAACAATAGTGACTGGTTTTGTATGGTTTTTATTTTACTTGGTTTGGGGTTCATTGGAATTTCTTTAATCTGAAAGTTTATCTTTTTTTCCTCTTTTTTTTGTTGGTACATTTTAGATATGCGTAATGATCACATTCACCATAGGGAATTTATACCTGTATATCTTGCTTCTTTTTTTTCCCATTTGCCTTTCCTCCCTTCAACCCCTCTTCCTCTCCTATTTACAAAAAGCTTTGTTTCCATTTTTCCTTTCCATTCTCTTTTTTTCTACCCCCCCACCCCCTTTGTTCCTTTTCTCATTTGAACACTTTCTTTCCATTCCCAATATCTGTTATACATTTTGGTCCCTATTTCCACTTTGAGTCTCTCACACCAGAGAAACAATGCTGTGTTTAAACATGTGTGCCCAATTTATTTCACTTAAGAGTATGTTCTTGGGCCGGGGATTTAGCTCAGTGATTTGGGCATTTGGGCTGTTTCTAAGACTTAGGTATTACAAACTGTGCCACTATAAATATAGGTGTGCATATATCACTGTGGTATGATGCTTTTTTTTTTTTTGGTACTGGGGATTGAACTCAGGTCCTTGAGTTTGTGAGGCAAGTGGTGGAACCACTGAGCTAAATCCCTGGCCCAATGCTTTTAATTTTTTTTTGGAAGATATCAAGAAGGGGAATAGCTAGGTTAAATGGAGCTTCTAGTTTTAGTGTTTTCTGTTTTTTTTTTAAAGACAGGGTTTCACTGTAATTCAGGCTGGCCTTGTACTCACTATATATTCCAGGTGGGCCTTGAACTCATGGTAATCCTCCTGCCTCAGCCTCCTGAGTGCTGGGATTATAGGCATGCACCACCACACCTGGCTCCAGGTTTCCTTTTGTGAGGAATCTCCACACTGATTTCCACCATGGTTGCACCAATGTGCATTCCCACGAACAATGGAGAAGGGTTCCTTTTTCTTCACAGCCCCACCAGCATTTGACTTGGTTGATTTCTTTCCCTTTTTTTTGGTACTGGGATCAAACTCATGACCTTGTGCTTCGGAGGCAGGCAGCGGAACCACTGAGCTAAATCCCCTGCCTGTGGTTGATTTCTTGATAACTGTCATTCTTTCTGGAGTGAGATGGAATCTCAGCATTGTATTCATTTGCATCTCTTGAATGATCCATGATGTTGAACATTTTATCATATATTTATCTACTGTTTCTACTTCATTTGAGAAGTGTTTCTTGATTTCAAATGTCATTTTGGATTGGGCTGTTAAATTTGGAGGGGGTCTGATTTTTTGAGTTCGTTATATATTCTAGATAGTAGTCCTTTGTCTGAGGAATAGCTGATAAAATTTTGTTGCCACTCTGGGTTGTCTTCACTCTGTGGTTCTTTTTTTTTGCTGTGCAAAAGCTTTTTAAATAAGATGAGATCCCAGTTGTTGATTCTTTGTGATAGTTCCTGCATGATCTGGATTTTGTTCATTAGGTCTTTGCCTACACAAATGTCTTCAAGAGTTCTACATGGTCTATCTTCCAGCAGATTTAGTGTCTCTGTTTAATATTTAGATCTTTGACCCATTCTGATTTTAGTTTAGTGGGTGATGAAACATAAGGGTCTAGTTTTCATCTTTGGCACATGGAAAGCCCGTTTTCTCAGCTCCATTTATTAAAGAGGTTATCTTTCTTCCAGTGAAGGTATTTGGCTCCTTTGTCAAAGATAAGGTGGCTGAGTGTGTTTGGAGTTGTTTCTGCATCTTCTAATCAATTCCATTGATCCTCAGTTCTGTTTTTTGCCATATGACGCTGTTTTGTTTTTTTTTTCTAAATCACAGTAGCTTTGTAGTATAATTTCAGGTCAGGGATTGTGATGACCCTGCCTTGCCTTTGTTACCCCGAATGCTTTTGCTATTCTAGGTCTCTTTTGGTTCCAAATGGATTTTAGGATTGTTTTCTCTAATTCTGTGAGGTATGCTATTGATAGTTTTATTGGGATTGCATTAAGTCTGGATAATAATTTTGGAAGTATGGCCATTTTCATAATATTGGTTCTTTCTACCCAAGAACAAAGAATATCTTTCCTTTTTTTTGTTTTGGTACTGGGGATTGAACTTGGAACCTTGTGCTTGCAAGGCATGTGCTGGAACCACTGAGCTAAATCCCCGGCTCTTTCCATTTTCTGATACCCTCTTTTTTTTTTTTTGGTAACGGGGATCAAACTCAGGACCTTGCTCTTATGAGGCTGGCAGCGGAACCACTGAGCTAAATCCCCGGCTCTTTCCATTTTCTGATACCCTCTTTTTTTTTTTTTGGTAACGGGGATCAAACTCAGGACCTTGCTCTTATGAGGCTGGCAGCGGAACCACTGAGCTAAATCCCTGGTCCCCTGATATCCTCTTTAATCTCCTTTTTCACAGTACTGTGGTTTTCAGTGTAGAGGTCTTTTACTTCTTTTGTGAGACTGATTCTTAGGTGTTTCATTTTTTGGGATGCTATTATGAAAGGTGTTCTTTCCCTAATTTCTCTTTCATTGAGTTTGTTATTTGTGTAAAGGAATGCTGTTGATTTTTTTTTTTTGTTTTGTGTTTTTTTGAGACAGGATCTTGCTATTAATTCAGGCTGGCCTTGATTTCACTAGGGAGTGCTGGTTGGCCTTGAACTCACGGCAGTTCTCCTGCCTCAGCCACCCAAGTGCTGGGACTATAGCCCTGTGCCACCATGCCTGATTTGCTATTGATTTTTGAGTGTTAACTTTGTATCCAGCTTTACTACTGGATTTGATTATTAAATTTAAAAGTCTTTCTGCCACCT